ATAGAGATAAGTTGGTGTTTGCAGTTATGAAAGTGAGAACAAGAAGCAACAGGACCATAAATATAATAGAAATAATAAAAGTAAAACTTGAAGGTATATAAGGATGGATGGAGGAGATTGTTTATTTACTAGATGAAAAAAGGTTAGTCAATTCTTGCCTGACGCTATTTTCATCACATAAAATACGTGCCAAGTATGGTATCATAGAATTTTGATACTTAGACGTGCGAGCATACAGTTTTCTGAAGTTACTTCTTGTTCTACCTGAGGATATGCAAGGTGAAAGCTGAGGGTGAAGTGGATGCTCCAAGTCAGACAAAATCCCTTTAGCAAATTTACTGCACGAAGTCAAATGCCTATCGACAACGACGTTAACTATGTAGTCCACTGGGACACCACTCATCCTACTGACAGTCTTCAGCATTCTACGAATTGTGAAAAAGTCCTTTTTAAGCAAACCAGGAAAGAATAAGGGTGAACAATAAAGAAGAATAGGTAGGATGCAAGAGTTTATGAACTGTAGGAGGAGGGGTTGAGTTATACCCGAGTGCCTTAACTTCTTAATGTAAAATGTCAGGCGGAATATTTTACTGGAGATCGCTGAGACATGGGAAGACCAGGAGAGATCAGAAGAGAGAATAAGTCCAAGATACTTAATTTCTGATTTAATTCCTATATCATTGTCATCAATCTTACAACTGTCATAAGAATCGACGGCTTCTTTTAACTGTCGTTTACACCTTAAGCTGAAATTAACAGTTTGACATTTAGAAGGATTCAGTTTAAGACCGTTAGACTCAGACCATTTACTGACTTCTGACAGAAAGCTATTTATTTTGGTACAATCTAGCTGGGAGTTAACAGCCATTGAAACAGTTAAATCATCAGCGTACTTCACAAAATTTATTTCATCAGACTGAGGCAAGTCATGTAAGGAGAAAGAAAAAAGAAAAGGAGAAAAGACAGCGCCTTGAGGGACACCAGCTTCAATAGGCAATGAAGTGGAAGACTTCCCTTTATACACGGTGTACTGCTTTCTTTCTGAGAAATAAGAGTGTAACCAGTTAACAGCCCAACATTCTGTTTGACTTACAGCAAGTTTATTTAACAAGATGTCCCTAGGGACCGAGTCAAAAGCAGATGTATAGTCTAGGAAGGCACAACGGACAAATTTAGCCCCTTCGTCTAGACTGGAAGCAATGTTATGATATAAGACGGCGGCTGCATCTAAAGTGCTTCTACTGTGCTTATAGGCAAACTGTTTTGGGTCATTAAAGGATTTAAGAGAGGGTGCAAGACTAAGTAAAAGTAGTTTCTCCATAGTTTTCAAAAAAGGAGAGGTAATAGCAATGGGTCTAAATTTGACACATGTTCCAGTAGACGATTTAGGTATGGGTACAACTTTAATGTCTTTCCAAACAGCAGGCACAATATTACTGGAAAAAGATTTGTTAAACAGATCAGTGAGAGGGTAACATAGAATATCAGAACATTTTTTGAAAATAATACTAGGTACATGATCTGGACCTAAGCTCTGGGAAGGGTTCAGAGACTTGAGGCACTTTTGAACATCATTTGTGTTAAAACCTGGAAAGGGGCTATTATTAACACTAGTGATACTGGGAAGCATGGAATTTGAGGGGGAATAAATAAAAGATTTATTAAGAGTACATACATCAGAAGAATACGGAATATTGTTAATCTGCTTATCACCAGTGATTTCCTTAAATAGTTTCCACATATTTGAAGCATTTTTGCAGGATATGAATTTCTGATTTTATATAACATTCAATCTCTGCATTTCAGACTTGATAAGGAAGTTAGTTCTTTTTACGCCACTTTTATCTTTCATTTTATATAGCTTTCCCTTCTCTCTACGAAGCTTTTTAAGTTGAGGGGAGGAGAAACGGTCGAATTTGACGAATAATGTTTCTTTTGGGCAGCAGATTTCAAAACAGAATTTCAGATAAGACGTAATATTAGAGATTGTGTTATCAAGTGAAACATCATTAAACAGATCCCATCTTGTGTCACTGAGCATGTTTCTAAGATGTTGTACATTCTCATTTGAGTAACATCTGTGAACAACTTTCTTGGACAAGTTAAAGAAGGCTTTTTTGTGTAACTTTCCGTAAACTTTGGGTAGAACTCGTACAATATAGTGATCAAAATTTGAGAGTGGAGCTCTTTTACGAGCTTCTTATATTCCAGAATCATTTATGAATACTAAATCAAGCGAAGTATCTTGTCGAGTTGGGAAGTTAACCACATTTTCATGACCCAGCAATGTAATAAAACTGTAGTCACTGGCGTTGAAGTCACCAGTTACTACAGACAAGGAGTTACCAAACGAAGCAGCAGCAAAAATAGTGAATTCGTCAGCAAAGATCGATAGTTCTGAGGGACTGCAAGAAGGTGTGACATAGATATTTGTGACAAAAATGCAGTTATACTTAGATAAGTGTTTAGGTCGGCATTTAACAGTTATACAATCAATATTGTCATTTGAGAATTTGAAGCAGACGTTGTTGGCAGTAGACCACTGAGAATTAATAAAAGTGGCCACACCTCCACCTCTCTTCTTCTTTGAGCTGCATCGGTCTTGTCTGTACATTTTAAAATCAGGTAAAGAGACCAAATTATCGTCATATGAATCGTGCAGCCAAGTTTCTTGAAGAGTAATTACAGCAGTGTTACAATATACATTTGAGTATAATAGAGAATGCAAATAATTAATCTTGTTTGGTAGATATCTGCAATTTGTGCTCATAATCACAGGAACAGTCATCAAATGCATTGGAGTACGCTTTAAAACTCGTTGCCATCCACCATGAGGCTTTTTCTTAAGTTTGTTAGAAACGAGTAAATTAGCCGGTTGGAAACTTTTTAAATAACCGCGAGAGTAAACAATGCGATTAGGACACATAATTGAATGATTAAAATAAAATAAATACGAGGAAATAGATGCAATATATAGGATGGAAATTTTGGTAGACCAAGATGTTGGCCACGGATCATACGGACCACCGTAGGCTGAGTCGGGATGTACCCTCTCTCTCCAGAGTGGAGAGACAGCATAGCTGGCATGCTGGTCATCTGAGGGAAACACCTCACTGCTGTTACACCCCTGTTCCCCCAGCAGTACGACTTCGCCCTCAGACCCCCAGCATAGTGTAAGAAAGATTATTACACAATGCCGGTAACTGCTTTTAGTTTAATCGCTATCCTAACAATCTTCCTGGCGTGGTAGGACCTGCAGGAACAGAAGTCCCAGCCAGTGTAGTTTGTTGGGTCATTGTGATGTGCAAGCCCGACAACCACGTCAAAGTAGCAGCTATCTCTGTTTACCATAGTTTGGGACCGGCTAGAAAACTAGGCGAGGTGGTATAACAGGATAGAGGACACCAATAGATTGCTAATGCAATTTTTATTGACTAAGCAACTGATTCACTCCAGAGTCGAAATCTGCACAGAAACGTTTTAGTTCGAATTAAAATAACCTCACACCCAATCCCATCTTCCCCAGGCTAATTACCGGGCTAGTCAATCAGACGAGATTCAGAAGTGTACTGACTAAGAATCCAACCTGGTGCACCAGCTGGGTTTTTAAGCATTCCACCACTAAATAAACACGGAACTACTGAAGTAGGTACAGGATTTAAATTAAATAAGTATTTTTTGTCACCAAAATTAGAAAGGAAACTACATCAAGAATACAACAATTAACGAAGAAAAACCGTAGACGAAGACATAGTTCACAGTGAATACAGAACCGGTCATTTCTAACCATTCCTTACAGTGGGGGAGACTATAGCTCAAGTGTAAGTTCAAAAGAGAAACACCCTTTTACAGTTTCATACCCATCTGATCTACAATACGCACCTAAACTAAACTAATCTGATTTATCTACATATGACAGAGTGGGAACAAGTACATGATACAAAATGATTACTTTTAAGTTCCTACACCAATTCATTAGTCATTACTAAAAGCTGACAATACAACCAAAATACTCATATCAGATGGAACAGACTGAGTCTAACCATGTATTTGTGTTCTCTGAGCTGAATGGTTTGGTTGAGAATCTTTTATAGTCTTACTAGACAACATCCTTCCTCACACTTCAATTTGAAGCTTTCAAAATTCTCCACGAGTTTATAAGTTATCCCGCCTGGTAACCTTGAACGTAACCCGGCGTTTTGTATATTTCCTCATAAATATCCATCATTTTACCCATGTGAACCAATATTTGAGTAGTGTACTAGTGTAAATCGATAGCAGCTCAGATGCATTAATAATAGATATCATAACTCGTGAGATGAAAGTTAAAATGATTGCCATTAACGCACGGACGCAACCCAGTGGGGTAATACCAATTCCAACGATGTGATGTAACGTAAATATTAAAGTATTTAAGTTACCCACAATGAAAACAACTCACCGTGAATGAGGATCGAATAGAATGCTTTCTAGTTCTAATATAGGTGTGCAATCAGATTTAGCCTTGAATGAATATAGTTCAATAGCTAAAAGAGCATTGGCATAAATAAAATGCTTTTAAAAATGAATTCGTTAGTTGAATGAAAACTAGTGTAATCATACCAATACATGAGAATCCCACCGACTGACAGCATCGTCCTGGAATATTTTTGTAAAAGAAATTATCAAGCCATCAGAATAAAAACGTAAGCATTCTTCTGAAAAAATGTCTTCACCTAGATTTTAAAAAAAGAAAATATTTAGAAATATATATTTTTGCAGAACCATTTTTAGCCATATTAATCGACGCTATCAGAACAATTTCCAGTTGTGATTCGGGTAAAACAGGCACTTGCCATTGACGTCGTGACAACAAAGAATTAAGAGTAGTTAACGCATCCACTGGAAATGTGGCTTGCATTTCTCTTGGGGATAAACTGTCATTTTTGGTAGCCATTGAAGCATTAACGACTGAAATATTCGGTGGACTATCATTAGGAAGTTGGTCTTGTCTGTCGGTTCTAGTATTCATGGTAGGTTAACTGAAGAAAAATAAGTAGAAAATTTTTAAAAAAACGATGAGCACATAAAAACACTGAGAAATACCACTTAAATCAGATACATACTGCATAATTACCAAGTAATTTAAGTTAAAGGGTATGCAATAACATTGCAGGGTAATACATTGACAGAAAAAGACCGTACGGAACAGTACTGAATAAGAATGTCGAATGTGACATTAACTTGTGATGCATATTTTAGAGAGTAAACTGGTTTTAAAGTGCCCCGCTAAAGTAAAAAAAATGCTGTTTTTTCTTAGTGAACTGAACAAAACCTAGCTACATTCGGTGACTACTTTGTAATTGTTACCATTCAGAAAAATTAGTGACTAAAATAAATGAAATGATTTCTGAGGCTAAACTTGTGTGATGTCTGAATAAATTTCAAACAAATAAAGTCACTCAGCTGCTCTCTTCTATTCAATCCCAATTAAGATGGAAATACCTATCTAGACTTCTTGCATGACAGATGAGGGTTTCTGATACATCAGTCTCCTGAATGACAATCAAAACTGTTGCTGAAGTTAGATGGAAAATTGAGCGACCATATACTTGGATAGCTCAAGTAGTAAGTTGGAATATAAACAAGATACCACTGCAGGAAGAGTTTCACTTTTAACTTCACCATCCACTCACATTAATAGTAACCTGTCACACGTGAAATAATGAAGATATCTCACAATTCAGGATATTCAGGTTGCAATTGCTATAATTTTAGGACGAAGAAAAACAATATATCTCAAATGCATACTTCGTATTACTGAGAAACAAAATCGCTAGTATAGTTGTAAGAAGACGATTTAATCCCAGATCTCTTCTTAATTCATTTAAGCAGGAATGGAATTGAACATATATACAGTTCTTTAAGAAACCCTGTCCTCAATTACAAACAAGTCTAAAGCAAATAGACGAATACTCAGATGATGAATTCTTCCATGAGTACCTCGAATGATACACATACTTTAGTATGTCGACGTTCCCCGAGTATGTAGGTCGTCCGTAACAAAATTTTAATCGTTCTTAACTATTTTCTATCGTTAAAAGCAGCACGCACTGATGACTCAGCTAGTACCTGAGTATATGGACTGAACGTGCATTGAACAAATGCAGCGTGCCGGTTAACCAACATGTGCACAACCACCCTTCTAAAAGTCTGCTCGTATCACAGATATTACAACGGTTTTAAAGACAACTGAGAACCATGAATTGAAAAAATAAGTTAATTTTTAGGACGCAGAAGTATGTAGAAGACAATAAAGCAACTAACTGTAGATACTCTGAAAGTTAAGGCAGCTGGTAGTGACGTCTCATCGAAATGACCGCGCTGCGAACAATATCCAATATCCACTTCGAGAGTTGACGTTCAATATCTAATACCGTTTTTAGAAGCTAGCGTGCACCCGACTGGCTTCTTTGTGCTCCCTTCTTGGTTTTAGGGTAAAGTTAAAGGTCTTCAGTGAACTTCTGCGTAGTTCGTCCTATATTTGGTAAACCCCAAGGGGAATGGTACTGGGATTGATTGTGTTTTGTAGTATTAGGTGTGTTGAGAACATGTTAGTGGAGTTGGCCCTTTCACCTGTTCTTCATCTGGTGTGGTTGAAAGGACAGACAATATTAGCACTGGGCATAATCAGTGTAGATTATGCAGAGTAAAAAAGGAAGAATCGTAGACAGATAGCTGATAAAATTTGAAATTATTAGGTGAATCAATAATGATATAAGGGGAATAGAGTACTCAAAAGAGTGAAACAAGAGAGAATGAAAAGCATCAGAACGACAATTTTACGCGTGGGAATTTTCGGGGATATGAAGTTTGGACGCAGTCCTTTTGTTGGTGAGTGATTGTCCAGCCTTCGCCTAAAGCTTTCCATGGACGTTGAAGTAGCCACATTTTCTGGTAGAGGATTCCAAGGGTGGAAGACTAAAAGCGAAAAATTGAAGCGGAACAAATTCGCCGTGTTTTTTCATATGTTTCATGCTGAATGTCAATAGCGTTTTATGCCACCCTACCCAGATCTTTTCTAAGGTGTTGGAATTTCTTATAACAGTGTGTGAGCTATCCTGTAATAAACCTCAGTACATGCGCTCCGTATTTCCCTAGGAGACGCGATGGGTGAAGTTGAAATGGTGATAATATATCCTCAGTTTTTGTATATGAGGGACGCCAATTTACAGGTATCATCAATATGACGAATAATAGATACATGAAGTAAGCGTATTTACAATTATCTACGTATACGGCATATATATTTAAGAAAAGGTGGTAGTATGGTGTCAGTAAGCTCGCCTTACATCACTAAAAGCAATTTACATGATATAATCCTAGGCATCATTATTGTTTTAATTTGACGAAAATGAGCGTAGCAACTGCAGGCTGAGTTACATTTGGTAGGAACGGTAGGCTATTCACAAAATCATAAAAATGGCTTTCAAAATGTTAGTCAGTTCACACTATTATTATTATTATTACAAGGTGAATCTGCAAAACTCACTTTAGGATTGTCAGGAGACCCCTCAGCTAGCTCGCAAGGACTCGCAGGTGTAGGGCTAGTTGAGTGTTAGGGTAGAGAAATTACTTCTTGACTGGATCCCAGTAGATAGTCGTATGTGTGCAGTCCGTCTGAATGGGTCCGTTAGAAGAAGGAAGAACGGCGCTACCCGTCATTGTCTTTTCATAGTCTCCGCTTACGCCCCAACAGACTGCAGTTCGGATAAACTAAGGGATAATTTCTGCCTGAAACTGTCTAATTTGCTGCAAAAAGCAAAACGTTCAGATATAGTTGTTTCAGCAGGCAACTTCAATGCCCAAGTAGCGAAGTTGTGCCAGACAGAGTATTATGTAGGTGGTACGTATGGAGTTCCCTGCTGGCGAACCTACTACGGTGATCGTTTTCTACAGTTCTGCTCAGATAATCATCTATTTCTAGTCAGCACTAACTTTAAGCACAAAGAGAGATATTGCGTAACCTGGCTACCTCCATCATCAAATCGACGCTGGACTCAAATAGACTACATAACCATAGGATATCGTTGGTGAGGGTCAGAACAAGACTGTCGCTCCTTTTAGAACACGTGCGTAAACTCTGATCACGCCCTGGTTCGTGCACGTGCTTACGATTAAACGGATATAAACAATTGTTGGTAGCGAGGCAGGTGCGTCCCCATCTAGATCGAGACACTGAGTCCTTATTTAAAGTAGAAATAGCGAAACGTGTATCTGAGATCGACAGCAGGACTTCCCCTAAGGTAGCCCGGTACAACATACAGTTAGCTGTAGACACAGCTGTAAAAGCTGTTAATAACATGAAACCTAAAGTTAGTAAGAGCCATTGCATTTCTACCGTCTCATGAGAAGTGATTGACGCACGAAGACTGATCCCGGTGAGCTCTGATTATGATGAGGAGCGAAAGCTACTCAAACGCAAACTAACAAGAGGGCTTCGTAACGACGGTGAACAGTGGTGGGCGACAAAAGCGAAAGAGATGGAGGAGGCATCGGCAAAAGGGAACACTAGTCAACTATTTAGACTTATCAGGGAAACAGGTAAGAAAATGGCAAACGATAAGTGAAACAATCTCTGAGAAAAATGGCACCACAATTAACTCCCAGCATAGACGACTAGGACGTTGGAGAGAACACTTTGAGGAGCAGTTTAATTGGCCCACAGCCACTGTCAACTTACCCAGCATCCAACACCTCCCTGAATGGGACATAGACACAGGTCCTCCGTCCCTAACTGAGGTTACTAAGGCTGTCGCTAGTCTGAAACGAGGCAGTGAGTGACTATGATGATGCCACCAGTAGCAGCCAGAGCCCTAATGCAATGGGAACCAATTTCATCCAGGATTACGACAACAAAATCCAACTCAAAAAGAAGGAAGGTTACAATTATCCAATGCTACAAACAACGCGAAACAAGAGAAGGAGGAAGATTTTCACAGACAACTACAAACAGTAATGGAAAACATCCCAAATAGAGACATCAAAACCCTTATGGGTGATATGAATGCCAAACTGGAACCTGATAATACAAGGAGAGAACTCATCATGGGTTGAAAGGCTCTGGCTCGGAGGCATGAATAAGAACGGAGAATTATTCGCAGACTTCTGCTCTTTCAATGATTTGGTAGTCAGAGGAAGCGTGTACAAACACAAGGATATACACAAAGCAACATGGATTTCGCCTGACAAACATACCACAAACCAGATAGATTTCATCTCAATGTTGCCTCTCAAGGAAGTGGAGACGCAGCTAGTCTGCTGGATACAAAGTTGAGAAGGGGAGCAGATGTGGGCTCGGACCATCATCTAGTTCAAAGAACCTTCAAGGTGAAACTGAAATCCATGAAAACAACTGGAGACAGACCACTGTAATGCATGTTCAACATTCAGAAACTGGACAAAACTACAAAGGATACCTCAATACATATCTGATCAGAGCGAAGTCGGAGACACTACGTGGAATCACTGGGGAAACCTGTGTGGAAGAACATTGGAACTCTCTGGAAGCGATATTCAAGGAAAAGTGTACAACTGTTCTAGAAAGAAGGAAGAGACAAGATGAGAAATGGCTGGAAGCTAATCGAGGAAAGAACGATAGTGAAAGAGAAGATGACTCAATGCAAAGATGAGCAACAGAAGGAGAAGCTGAGTTCAGTGTACATCGCACTGAATAAGGCAATGTAGAAGAGTGCCACGAACAGTAAAAGACAATTCTACAACACACTAGGAACTGAGGCAGAACAGGCCACAACCGAAAGAACCATCAGGACACTAAATCAAATAACCAAGTCCCTGTCCGGAAAGAGATCAACCCAGATGAATAAACCTATAAAGAATACTGCACTGACCCATAAGAAGACTCTAGAAGATCTGAATTTCGCACGTGGATGACTAATGTTTCATGTCACACAAATTCGACGACTTACAGTTAAAATCCAACAAACTGGCTGAAAAAGCAGGCAGAAAATACAACACTCCAGGTGAACATTGAGAAGATGGAGGTAATGAATATAGCCAACGAACAGCAACAACAACAGGCACCAATCACCATCAATGGGAGAGATTTAACAAAGGTAACCTCCTTCACTTATCCGGTTGGGAAGCATCGTTCTAACTACAGGAATTCGGGACGGATGAAGATGTCAAAGCTAACCAGTCAGAGTCGGAAAGGCAAGATACGCCTTCATCAAACTGATACAAGTTTGGAAATCTTCTGCGTAAATACATTTGTGTCACTGAGAACGATTCTGAGTCATGTCACCGACAGTCTTAAGCCATTGGTTGTAAGCGTCTAAGGGATTTCATCAAGGCACTGTGATCATATCTTCACACTCTGACAGATTCTAGAACATAGGCATTCCTACTGGCGTCCAACAATCATTATAATTCTTGACCTAAAGGCGGCATTCGATTCTGTTGACCGAGGGGTACTCTGGCTATGCTTGGCTGTGAGTGGAGTGCCAAAGACGTGCATCGCACCGATCGAGGTTCTCTTTCTACTTGAACTCATGCAGTCAGCCAGGTAACAGCATACAGCGAGTTGTCGTCTGAAGTGGTGACAACCAGTGGTGTCTATCAGGAATGCCCACTATCCCCGTTTCTATCCGATTTCATCGTAGATGTAGTAATGGACTTAACCCTAACTCACTTCAGAGACTCAGGGATCGACTTGTTACCATCAGGGAATAATCTCGTTGACTTAGAATATGTAGATGATATAGTCCTGTCTGCTAGGTGAGGACAGTAGAAAGCATTGGCTGGAAACAATTGGTGATATGGCCCCGAATGGTTCTCAATGGCTGGCGCAGATGCATCCACTCCTTGTGACTTGTAATTTCCAATGAAACTATATTGTTCTTCGTTATTACTATTCCCTGTCTACTGTCTCTATTATGCATTTCTTCTCTTGCTTTGTGTGCTACATGGAGTGTGGCGACTTGAACTGCTGCACATCGATGCAAAGTTCTATGTCAAAACCAGACAGAGGTTGTTTGACCTCCGACCTGTCGCTCGGCTGCAGAGGATTTTACTGGTGAACTGGCATCATGGTTTGTCATTACTATGATGTATTGGCACTGTTTTCTTTCACTTTTCCTTGTCTTGTCATGCGTATGGTGCATAAATTCCAAACATCCATTTCAATACTTTTCCAATCTATTTGTGTGCATTTCTTTTCGCATCTTAGATTTGTGGTACAGCTGTTTTGTCGTATTATTTCAGATAATACATGTACTATACGTGAATTTAACACCCCGTTAGCACCATCATCATCAGTAGCATCATCGTCATCATCAATATCAACAGTATTGTTAACTTTCTCATTACCGGTATCTGCTAGTCATGTAAATACTACTGCTACTTCTGGTGTTAAACTTATTAATTTAGAACAGCTATGGAACTTTATTCTTTTTTCCAATCGATGTGTATATCGCGAAACTAGTAGACTATTGTTACAACTCTATACAAAGGCTTATTCACGTTGTACAAAAAGCCGACAGGAATTATGCAGTGATATTATGCGGACATGTTACGCACATATTAAGACAGCTTACGATGAGGTAAGATGTATGTGAATAAATTGATTGTCAACCAAATGAATTGTGATATTTTCCTGCCTTAAACTTTTGTTGAATTAAATTCTCATGTGTAGACACCTGCTTGATGAGTGTTTCATATACTAACTTAGGTGACGAACTGACATAAAAAGCAGTGGAAACCAGGAAGTACTAGGCAGATATTCAGTCCTAGGTTGGGACTCTCCAACAGTGTACATTCATAGGCCTTTCAGGGACTGAACCTAGGACGTTCAGGTTTTGACACTAGCAGTCAGTCACTGGAACAGAATCCAGTAACCCTATACGACCTATGTTTATACATATATATATATATATATATATATATATATTATAACCAGTAAGGTGACTTGAGATTTCTATGTGTGTTTTTTTTTTGTATAGTTTATTTTGTGCTTCATTGACTTATTTGTTGAACTTCTGATCACCGGTTCACAAATCCCATTTCACCTATCGAGGTATGAGCAGGTAAATAGTAATGTCACTATCCCTCAGACAGATTTATGGTTTATCGTCGACTGTAAATGAAAATGCAAGTGTTTGTTTGATTGATTGATTGATTTTACGCCCGTGTTATTGTCAATTCACCCCCCCTGTCTCCCCAACATTTCTTTTTTTTCTCACTTTTTAGCTCATGGATAGGTTCATCATTCCACTGAACAGTCACTTGTCAAGGTCTACCAACCACGTTTTATCTTTGTCATAATAAGAATAATAGAAAGGGAAAAAAATCAAAAGCATACCTTCCTTTCTAATGGAACCACGGTAACTATTGCACTTATAGTACATGGAAATATAACAGTTGGTGAACTACGCGCGTTTCTATTGGATTTTTGTGTAAATGGTTACCCGTCGAATTCTCCGTCGTCATCATCCTCACTGTCACCAGTAACAACAACAATTCCACCTAACTGTAATGATGATAGTAAGAGTCATTATCGTATTAACAATCGTAATGATAGTAGTGTGTTGCATCCAAATACTTCCCAATATGAATTAGAATTAAGTGTTCTCAATACGGAAGAGGAGGGGGAGCAGACAAATGGCAATAATTGGTTATTAAACTGTAATATGGATAACGAATTATTAATTGATCTACTCTCATCCTTTCCTAATTGGACTAGACAATTTTTAAAGCATCATCTTAAGATGGAAGATGAAGAAGGTCATAGAGGGAAAAAAAGAAGTAACGCCAACAGTGATGATGCTTCACTAATTCAGTAAGTATAATGTCAGTTTTTCACTACTACTACTACTACTACTATTGCTGACGTTTTGTTTACTGCCTCTTTTTTTATCTGTATGGAGTTAGTTGGTCACTTGTTTTGTTGGTGGTCATTAGTGAGATGAAGGATGTGACTTGTTTTCGTCAGTTGAATGTACATACTCCCCAGTAGGTGTGATAGTATTTCCATTAAGACTCGAACCCAGTACCTATCGTTTCCAATGCATAAACATTATCCATTAGGCTTTTGGTCTATAAGAGTCACCGTTTGTGCGATGGGATTGATTTCAAAATTATTTATTCATATTTTGATTTCCAGTGGTTAAATCAAAATTCGGTACGTCAACCTCATTTTGGTATATAGGCTCTGTAGACGGGTGTCGTCGTATCACCATGAAAAACACTTCAGAAGTGATTGTTTGATGTTGTCTAGCAGTGGAATCTAAGATGTGCGTTTGTGTCCTATTTGGGACTTGTCATCTGGAACCTCAGTGGGGATTTTTTCTTCCACTCATTGACAAGCAGGCACATTCGGATGAGGAGTCCTGAAAAGTAGGGCAAGATGAGCATCCTTGGTTCTGCTTCGGTGGCATAGCGGTTAGGACTCTCGCCGACCATGCACATGGTCCGGGGTTCGATCTCCTGCCGACTCACACCTCGTATCCGCCTGCTACATTCGCGCTACCGACATCACATGCTGAAAATTCGATACTTGTACCAAAATGTACTGTGTGGAATCAAGCTATAATCAAAAAAAAATTCTAACCATCATCAAACAGATACCTTCGAGTTTTTAACCTCGTTAATATGGAGGCAACCGTTAAAACTGCCTCTATATGCCAAAATGAAACCAACTATCGCAGTTCATATATATCAGTCAGCGGGAAATCACAGATTTGAATAAGTAGACGACTGACTTATTTCATGCATCCAGTAATAAGAAGGAATGTGACGATATTTGGTTTATTGACTTAACCGGTCGGCATTCAGCTGATTGGTCATGGGTTTGATTTTCACACCCTTCACTTTTTACCTGTGGTGACTGGATAATAAAATCATCTTTCTTCATACGAGAAGTGTTGCTCATCAAATGCCTGTTTCAGGGACTGGATTCCAACAATCGAACAGGAAACTCCAGCATTGTCTAGCATGCAGCGCTTTATTAAGGCTTCAAACTATCATCAATAATGGAAGTGTTGGTGTAAGTGTTCTATACTTCTTGTAAGCGACAGAAGAAAAGCACGAAAGTAAAATTAATTCCTATGATTTTACAAAGAAGTAAAATGTATTGATAGTTGTGGTAATAGTCAGCATCCGAAGAAAACACATTTTTGTGTAAAGGAGTTATGACCCAACTTTTAATGACCACCTGACGGATAAGCAATTATATATCCATTTGTACGTTGCTATTTTACTAGACTAGTAATCAATTCTATGTGTATATAGTACTTAGTGTTATTGCCGATTTATTTCCATGATTCAGGTTTACAAGGTGAACACAAAACTAAGTGACTCGCTATCGCTACGAAGGCGTTCTATCGATTGCCTCTAACCATCTAATATACACTTTATATTATTTGAAATGGTAGAAAGAATAGTCAACTGGTGAGGCAACCATACTATATCTTTTCTACTCATCCAAAATGTTAATCGGCTTTTTTCAAAGCATATCCGTTTATGTATTTTGTACAGCATTCTGCTGAAATTAACAGTTAATTCTATTACTTTACGTTCTGAGCGGAACCAAGGCCTTCAAGCTAGATGTTTGAAGTTTCGGTAGCATTGGTGTTTATTTTCTACAGTGTGAAGTTGCTAACCTCATGCCCAACCTTCCCTTACTATCCATCATACTATCGGCTTATCGAGGTGAGGTGAATGAGAGCGTTGGCAGGGAAAACACTTTTGAGTTAATTGATTGTCTTGATAACGTTGATATAAAGGACAAAACGATGTTTTCCCTAGATGTTGAATCTTTATTTACGAATGTACCTCTTTTACAGACGGTTGACATTTTATGCGATTACATCTCTGACAATGATTTCCTATTACCAGTATCCATTTCCTACTTAAAAGAGTTACTGCTTCTTTGTTCTAAGAATGTTAAGTTTACATTCGAGGGCGAGCATTATCGCCAGATCGATGGTGTTGCCATGGGAAGCCCCCTAGGTCCATTGTTAGCTGATATATATATATATATGTCGCATGTCGAGAACCTAGTGGATAAAGAAATTGGAAAAGTTTATTTTCATAAAAGATATGTAGATGACATAATAGTCATTTGTGATAAACCGACAGACGCCGTAGAAATCCTGAACCGGATCAATAGAGCACAAAACAGCATATCACTAACATACGTTAAAGAGAATAATGGATGCCTGCCATTTTTAAATGTACTAATAACCCGCCGAGAAGATGGGTCAGTAAAACGATCTGTCTACAGAAAGTCCACATGGACGGGACAGTACCTGAATTATCATAGTTTCTGTCCACTACAGTATAAGAAGGCGTTGGTTAGATGTTTGTTCAAGCGCATTCACCGTATATGTACTGCCGATACAATTGAAGAAGAAAGACAACACCTCACTGAAATATTGTTAGACAACAATTACCCACTGAGATTGATTAGACGTTACTGAAGTGTCAACCATAGAGCTTTACCAATCTAATCAGCTCCCAAAAAGGATGTTTACATATCCTTACCGTTCAGAGGTGATCAACAAAGTCTAGTCACTAGACAAAGACTAAAGGCCGCAATTAATAGAACCCATTATGCAGCTAAACTTATCTTCATAGAGAAAACGAGAACTATGTTGTTCTGTAAACCCTCACATCATCCGAACAATAGCGTCAAATCCCACTGTGTTTATCAATTTACATGTATGTGTGGAGACACGTACATAGGGAGGACCCATCGGTCTCTGCAGGTTAGGGCTACAGAACACATTCCAAAGTGGCTGCAACAACAAATGAAATCACCAGACACAATTGAACCCGGAAATAGATGTCCAACATCATCTATAGCCAAGCATATTATAGAGACGGGTCATAAGGTTGATTTCAACAATGCTTTTAAGCCGATATGCAAAACAAGGTTGGGCCACATACTTAAATTCATTGAAGCCTTAGCCACAAAAAGACTTAAACCTGTCTTATGTGTCCAAAAATTATTTGTCATCCCCTTAAATCCCATCGCACAAACGGTGACTCTTATAGACCAAAAGCCTAATGGATAATGTTTATGCATTGGAAACGATAGGTACTGGGTTCGAGTCTTAATGGAAATACTATCACACCTACTGGGGAGTATGTACATTCAACTGACGAAAACAAGTCACATCCTTCATCTGACTAATGACCACCAACAAAACAAGTGACCAACTAACTCCATACAGATAAAAAAAGAGGCAGTAAACAAAACGTCAGCAGTAGTAGTAGTAGTAGTAGTAGTAGTGAAAAACTGACATTATACTTACTGAATTAGTGAAGCATCATCACTGTTGGCGTTACTTCTTTTTTTCCTCTATGACCTTCTTCATCTTCCATCTTAAGATGATGCTTTAAAAATTGTCTAGTCCAATTAGGAAAGGATGAGAGTAGATCAATTATTAATTCGTTATCCATATTACAGTTTAATAACCAATTATTGCCATTTGTCTGCTCCCCCTCCTCTTCCGTATTGAGAACACTTAATTCTAATTCATATTGGGAAGTATTTGGATGCAACACACTACTATCATTACGATTGTTAATACGATAATGACTCTTACTATCATCATTACAGTTAGGTGGAATTGTTGTTGTTACTGGTGACAGTGAGGATGATGACGACGGAGAATTCGACGGGTAACCATTTACACAAAAATCCAATAGAAACGCGCGTAGTTCACCAACTGTTATATTTCCATGTACTATAAGTGCAATAGTTACCGTGGTTCCATTAGAAAGGAAGGTATGCTTTTGATTTTTTCCCTTTCTATTATTCTTATTATGACAAAGATAAAACGTGGTTGGTAGACCTTGACAAGTGACTGTTCAGTGGAATGATGAACCTATCCATGAGCTAAAAAGTGAGAAAAAAAAGAAATGTTGGGGAGACGGGGGGGGGGGTGAATTGACAATAACACGGGCGTAAAATCAATCAATCAATCAAACAAACACTTGCATTTTCATTTACAGTCGACGATAAACCATAAATCTGTCTGAGGGATAGTGACATTACTATTTACCTGCTCATACCTCGATAGGTGAAATGGGATTTGTGAACCGGTGATCAGAAGTTCAACAAATAAGTCAATGAAGCACAAAATAAACTATACAAAAAAAAAAACACACATAGAAATCTCAAGTCACCTTACTGGTTATAATATATATATATATATATATATATATATATATATATATATATGTATAAACATAGGTCGTATAGGGTTACTGGATTCTGTTCCAGTGACTGACTGCTAGTGTCAAAACCTGAACGTCCTAGGTTCAGTCCCTGAAAGGCCTATGAATGTACACTGTTGGAGAGTCCCAACCTAGGACTGAATATCTGCCTAGTACTTCCTGGTTTCCACTGCTTTTTATGTCAGTTCGTCACCTAAGTTAGTATATGAAACACTCATCAAGCAGGTGTCTACACATGAGAATTTAATTCAACAAAAGTTTAAGGCAGGAAAATATCACAATTCATTTGGTTGACAATCAATTTATTCACATACATCTTACCTCATCGTAAGCTGTCTTAATATGTGCGTAACATGTCCGCATAATATCACTGCATAATTCCTGTCGGCTTTTTGTACAACGTGAATAAGCCTTTGTATAGAGTTGTAACAATAGTCTACTAGTTTCGCGATATACACATCGATTGGAAAAAAGAATAAAGTTCCATAGCTGTTCTAAATTAATAAGTTTAACACCAGAAGTAGCAGTAGTATTTACATGACTAGCAGATACCGGTAATGAGAAAGTTAACAATACTGTTGATATTGATGATGACGATGATGCTACTGATGATGATGGTGCTAACGGGGTGTTAAATTCACGTATAGTACATGTATTATCTGAAATAATACGACAAAACAGCTGTACCACAAATCTAAGATGCGAAAAGAAATGCACACAAATAGATTGGAAAAGTATTGAAATGGATGTTTGGAATTTATGCACCATACGCATGACAAGACAAGGAAAAGTGAAAGAAAACAGTGCCAATACATCATAGTAATGACAAACCATGATGCCAGTTCACCAGTAAAATCCTCTGCAGCCGAGCGACAGGTCGGAGGTCAAACAACCTCTGTCTGGTTTTGACATAGAACTTTGCATCGATGTGCAGCAGTTCAAGTCGCCACACTCCATGTAGCACACAAAGCAAGAGAAGAAATGCATAATAGAGACAGTAGACAGGGAATAGTAATAACGAAGAACAATATAGTTTCATTGGAAATTACAAGTCACAAGGAGTGGATGCATCTGCGCCAGCCATTGAGAACCATTCGGGGCCATATCACCAATTGTTTCCAGCCAATGCTTTCTACTGTCCTCACCTAGCAGACAGGACTATATCATCTACATATTCTAAGTCAACGAGATTATTCCCTGATGGTAACAAGTCGATCCCTGAGTCTCTGAAGTGAGTTAGGGTTAAGTCCATTACTACATCTACGATGAAATCGGATAGAAACGGGGATAGTGGGCATTCCTGATAGACACCACTGGTTGTCACCACTTCAGACGACAACTCGCTGTATGCTGTTACCTGGCTGACTGCATGAGTTCAAGTAGAAAGAGAACCTCGATCGGTGCGATGCACGTCTTTGGCACTCCACTCACAGCCAAGCATAGCCAGAGTACCCCTCGGTCAACAGAATCGAATGCCGCCTTTAGGTCAAGAATTATAATGATTGTTGGACGCCAGTAGGAATGCCTATGTTCTAGAATCTGTCAGAGTGTGAAGATATGATCACAGTGCCTTGATGTAATCCCTTAGACGCTTACAACCAATGGCTTAAGACTGTCGGTCACATGGCTCAGAATTGTTCTCAGTGACACAAATGTATTCACGCATTCTGATAACCCAGATCCATCAAATATGAATTAGTCTGTGTAATTATTTCTCCAGTCATGCATTTCCGCTCATTATAGTTCCTTTGCATTATTCTTTTCGACCTTTGTGTGCTATTATGTAATGTGGAAGCCAACTTGAAGTGCTGCCTCAGTTCTACATCAATTAGTCGCCTACTTTAAGCACTCTCACATCCGTATTCTTATTGGTTAAATACATGTTGATTTCTAAGAAAAATTTTCGTTTGACTTATTACATGAAGAAGTTGAAAATTTCCGGCATAACTTAACCTCTTCCCTTACATTTTTTAGTTCAGGTATTTTTCCCATTCTCGTTTATTGTTCGCCTCACTCGTCCTTCCCTGGACTTCTCAAAAAAGACGTCACATCACGTAGAACACTGAAGACCATAAAAGTAAGGTTAGTAGTGTGCCTCTGATTCAACTGATAGACATTATTGTCAATAGGCAGTCAAATTCTTGCAAGCATTTGGCTAAAGTTATCTTGTCTGATACTGAACATCCTCTTTATTCTCAACTTTTGCCCTGTATATCTTCGGGTGAAACCAGAAGCAACTCCATAAGAATTTATGCTCGTACAGCTACTAAATACAAAAATTCTACTATACCACCATATTTAGCACGGGTTTTAAGTGAAGAGAGAGTCAGATGTCAGAAAAGAAATTATAAACTTTTTAAATTAGTAAATGAACTACAAAGTATGAGCAGAGATTATTATTACATGTATTATCTGTGATACTATCTGTTTATACTTCATTGTTTCCACCAACATTCTATTTATAGTAGTTCCACTATTAATATTATTATTACTATTCTAAATATTACGTATGTCCATATTTATGAAAGGAGTTACATTGTTAAAATATCTATAAAAACGCTGAAGATTCCATTCTGTAAAATTATTATTATTGTTTGGAATAAAGTTTTTCATTGATGTATGGTACTATTAAAATACATAAGCCAGGTTATCCCATAAGACCAATAGTAGATTTTAGAAATACCCCTACATATGAATTCTCAAAACATTTAGCTCTAATATTATGCCCCATTAGAAATCGTTCAAATTCTAGACTAACTAATTCATATGAAATGAAAAATAAACTAAATGACATACAACTAGATAATGATGAAACAATGGTTAGTTTTGATATAACCAGTCTTTATACTAATATACCAGTCAATATGGCCTTAGAAGCAGTTAAAAAAGAACTAACTGCGGATCCAGAACTCAATCATGGGACAAAGCTGTCCGTTGAAGAAATTATTTTAGGGATTCAGCTATGCCTCACATCTACTATATTTAAATTCCAAGGCAAAATATATAGACAAACTGAAGGTGTAGCAATGGGATCACCAATATCCCCTATCGTAGCAGATATATTTATGGATAGCTGGGAAAATATGGCACTTAATACGTTTAATCCTACTCCAAAAATATGGTGGAGATATGTGGATGACACTTTCACAGTGTTAAAAACAGAACATATCTCTAGCTTCTTGACACACATAAACTCACTAGTGGAGGGAATAAAATTCACATTTGAAACCGAAAATGAGCACGGAGAATTAGCTATGTTAGATTGTAAAATAAAACGAATAGAAGAAGGCAAACTACACACTAGTGTTTATAGAAAACCAACGCATTCTAATAGATATTTAGATTTTAATTCGTCGCATCCGTTAACTGTTAAGGTAGGCTTAGTTAAGTGTCTAACAAACCGAGCCATAGCACTAAGTAGCACAAAAAAAGACCTAAACGACGAGATAAAACAGATAGAAGAAGCGTTGGTGTTGAATAATTATCCTTTAAAATTCATTAGGAAGATAACTAAAGGCCAAAAGCAAAATAAAAATAATTGTGGAACTAGTAATGATAACATAAATAAGAGAGAATATAAGTCATTCACTGTTATACCATATAAGGAGGGGACATCTGAGACCCTACGTAGGATTCTGAATAAAGCAGGAATTAGAGTGGCATTTAAACCTACAAACTCACTCAGGGACAAGCTCTGTAGGTTAAAGGACCCAGTGGACCCAATTAGACAAAATAATATAATTTACAAAATACCCTGCAATGACTGTGAGGTCAACTACATAGGTCAAACTAGTAGGTCAGGGGTAGTGAGATTGTCAGAACATAAGAATTTAGCTAAGGTAAGAATGGTTGACCCCGAGAAGATAAGTAATTTAGAAAAAAGCTCGGCAATTGCAATGCATGCATTAACACACAACCACACAATAGGGTGGGAGAGGGTTAAAATTCTAAAAAGTAATCTAGGTAGGTGGAGAGAGAGGTTGATTACTGAATCTTTGTTCATCGAATCTACACCCAACACATGCAATAGAAATGAATCATCACTCATACCTGAAATATGCAAAATAATACTACCAATCAAATCAAGTGAAAATCAAGTGAAAAACAATGGAACTATATAAATGAATTTAGGAAGTCGTGTGATTAACTTGATATGATTATGAGCAATAAATTGTGCTCGAAACGTCATCAGTAAATATTACTGTATAACACTGAGACTATATCAAAATAAAATTTACCCATAATGGAAAGTTTTTCATTCCTTGAGGCTTGAAGTTTCTATAGCAGGATCAGGTTGCTAGCCTCATGCCCAACCTTCTCCCCCCCCTACAACTCCTATTACTGGTTTAGCGAGGTGAAGGAGTGCGTCAGCCGGGGGTCGAACCCTGAGCCACCTGTGCCACCGACGCATAAAGTGACTATTATTATTACTTTCAACTACGAACTGCAGCAACGTAAGTGGTGATATTCAATTTTATGGGTCGACCCCCTTCCTTAAGGGAGGAAGCCATTGCTGGTTGTTCGAGAAGATCACTGCTATCACGTCCGTATTTGTCAGGAGTACTACTTCTCCAACAAACTCCCAACATAGTGTGAGTGACTTAAACTACGATGTTATCAACTGCCTTTTTGTCGAACCGCTATCCAAAAGAACAGTTCTGATATGGTAGGGCCTGCAAGAATATTCGATCTAGTCAGTGTACGTCATTGGGTCATTGAAACTTACAAACTCTACCACCACTGGTAGCAGCGCTATCGGTCAGATTTGATTTTACCACTACCAACAATTAGCCTTCCTAGTGGAATGTGGCTACACTAGTAAAATAAATTGTTTCAACAAGTGTAGTTACTTGGAATGTTGGATATAGGGAGAGACCTAACGGTTACGTTTAAACATCACCTGTGCACAAAAACATTAAGATTTCCTAACTGTAATGAAAAAGAAACGATAATTAACTATATACCATAAGGTCTAACGATCAATTTGTGCTCACACACAAAATTCGGTTAAAATTACTTCAACAACCTAAGATCACATCTAATATTTTACTTCGTATTAATTTTTATTATGACTATTTAGTAAAGTCGCACTCAATAATCCACAACTACACTATATAACACCACAAAAGTAATTCTGATTAATGGGATTTTTTTACCGTACTCACACTGAAGAGCACATAAAAAGTGAGAAATAATTCATTGTTTATGAAAACATTAAATAAATTTATAAATTATCAAATATTGTATAATATTTACTTGGAGGAATGTACAGTGGTATTTGACCAGCTGATAGACTTTTGGATCCTTCCAAACATCACGGTTTAACAAATGACACTCAAAACACCCTTCATCGTGGACACTAACAAGCAACCATTGATGTTTCTCTTGAGCAGCTATTGCAGCCTGTTCGAAAAAAAGGTTATGAGTGTAAGACGGATAGAAGTGATAAACTGACTATATCAAGATTAATTTTATAGCTTTATAGATTTACTATAGAGATGAGGCAAAGCATAATCGTATCTTATGTATACACGCGTATATAAGTGGATATTAAATATTAACTGTTGAAACTTCACAGCTGACACAACCAATGACACACTGATAATAACTTACAGCATTTAACGATCCACTGAACAATAATTCAACAGGAGGTTGATAAAGTTGCTGTAGGTGTCTCTTTTTCTTTTGTGTTGTATCATCCTTTGCTCCATTGACATGACCACATGAACGAGCGACTGAAGATGAACCAGAGCTAACGCCTTCTGTATTTGATGATGATGAATTAGGCTCATATCGTGGTTTCGATGAACGCTCCTAACAACGAACAGATATGAAGTATAGCGAATCTTAAGGCTTCGTTATTTTAGTGGTTTTTATATGACGCCAAAAATCAAACATAACTTATCAACAGAGTGAGTTTGTGTTTTTGACGTTTGACTCAAATACAACTTTAAAACTAAGTAGTTGTTAAAAACACATTCTAGGGATTTACAAACTGTTCTTCAGATAGATATTCGTGCCCCTAATATACAGACTGCCACAACTGACTGACTGCGTTTTCGGAGTAGGAACTTGCACAAAAGTGAAACAGTTTAAGTTGCTGTATTCTACGTAACATACAAAAGTAAAGCAAAAATTTCAAAAGACCCATATTACGAAAGTTACGTGAAGAATAATGAGGATTTAACAGATTTGTAAAAATAACAATTATTTCAATTTATTTATTTTATTTATTAAAATACAAATCCGGTAGAGATGCGTCACATAAAAGTAATACTACAACAATATTGGGAGAACAGGGATACAATTAGTGAGGGATATCATCCGGATAGCAAGTAGGGACACTTGTTAGGATCTTTCACATGATGGCTCATTACCTCATGTAACTTTCACAAACGGGAAAAAGAAATTGTAGCTAGCCCGCCACTTATTACAATCCTTAGCCATATCTGATAACACCTAGAACCACCTAATTAAATTTCCCTTCAGAACTCATCAAGGAAGTCGTGATGCAGCCTAGAATGCTTACCTAAGACAAACATCTTGCACCCTATGGCGCCACGAACATCAGAGGCTAACCAACACTTCGCTTTTTGCGTCCAGTCCGAAGACTAAAGAACAGGGATCGGTATGTCATTACATATCCAATACACAGATGCTCGTGTTCCAGGATAACAACATAATGAAAGATGACCTCTAACGCGTCTAATCCCACACTGCTGGATCTCAGAATCCCGTTCACGATGGTGGCATAGAATTTAAGCAATCCTACGGAGACAGTAATGAGTGGAAACCCATCCTCAACTCGGTGAGGCCAATTTTCACAGGCAGGCATAGAGTAAGCAACTGCGTGCACCGAAGCAATTTCGTCCCAACCTTTGACAACCAAACTGACGTGGTCATGACGGTGTCAGATGTGGTCCATGTTAGTGTATCCCACGCTCCCAATCACTCTGTGGTTAGATATTTCGTCCACCACATCTCCACCAGTTCTCACGCAACAACTTAGATACTACAAAAACCTGTCGATACCTTTATGCGGTGAGTACAGGTACAGGCTCCTACCAATTTTGCAGCAGCACTTTGCACTTGGACCGCTCAAAGTACATACCATGCTAATTGACACTGCCAACTGATGAAGTGCGATTCGGGCAGCCTAAATGCTGTCGCACGGCAAGACGACATTGTCTGCATACTCGGAGTCGTAATCTCTTTCTCCAGGAGGCAGACCTACACCTCCACCACCAAACACTTCCTTTATTGGAGTCTCCAGAATGAAATCGATGGGAAAGTTAAAGAGAAGTGGTGATACTGGACAACCCTGTTTAACCCTGACTGTTGGTTGAGAACAGTAGTGATAGCTAGGTATATGTCCTTACTGTACTTGAAGTGTTTTTGTATAACGCTCTCAGGAACACTTCTTTCTAACAGATAGTTTCAGAGGGCAGTTCTGTCAAAGCAGTCGAAGACAGTCATAATACTTAAAGACATAACGATTGTTGGTCTGCAATACGAATGACGCTGCTCTAGCAGCTCTTCGCCTTGAACGAAACCGAACATTGCTGTTAGCGAATCAATTTCTCACGTGTCTTACACTGTTTGTAGGAAGAGACAGCAAACATTTCCGACACGGCCTGTAGCAAACTAATACACTTAAGAATGTCACATTCACTACGTAAGCTCCAATTAGAGTTGGGTACAGTGATGACTCATGTGGCATTTGCGAGCTTGCAGCATCTTTGGTGTAGACATGATATTTGGCTATCGATTAAAGGAGATATGAGCTGTTCACCAGTTCGATCCGTTCTCCTCTCTGGTTGTGATACATAGCAAATAAAAAAAGAAGATGTGAAAACACCAGCTCTCTTGGATTATAGGTGTCTATGTTCTATAGCCCTTGTTGAGTGGTGTAATACTTTGAGTAATATTGAGGTTATATGTCGAGTGTTAGGTAAGGCAGGTAACTTAGTCGATAAGGTTGTGAAGCTACATCGATTGAGCCGGCTAAGACATGTAATACGTAATGCCTAACTATCGCCTTCCTCGACGGTCGGTGTTCGCTGAAATAGGATTAATTTGGAAAAGAGCTGCTGGTAGTCATATGAAAACATGGCATCGGTCCATTAAAATCTTCAGAAGTTAGTTTGATCGACGTAGGGAGGGGTAGACTACCTGGTTGGGTTCCTCGGGATTCTAAAACCCTCATTTTCATAACCCTTACAAACGAAACCAAAGTTATCCGTAATATTCGGAGGGAAGGGATTGCTGGTGAGCCCTGAATAGTAGGTGCTATAGGTTTGTCAACGTCAAAATGTAGAGGAAGACATTTATGATTACCACGATATCGTAACATTACCCTGGTAAACACTAAAGCATGATCCAAAAGGAGTCGCAGTATTATAAGCACTTGTGTCATCGGAAGCCGATAGCAATATTCATCTCAGTTCAGGATTGATTGACAGGAGGACGCCGGGTGGGTCTACGGCACTGGTTATACCGGAAGTTAGTGCTAACTAGGAATAGGTCCCATGATCAAGTGATACATACCATCTGTGTCAGTGGTTCAGTGGTAAGACACTGGCCAACTGAGCGATGATCTGGGGTTCGATCCTCGACCAACTCATTCCTTTACCTTGCTTAGCCGGTAGTAAGCTCGGTAAAGAGGAAAGGTTGAGCATGAGGCTAGCAACCCCATTTCGTAAAAAACACCAGTGCTACTGAAACTTCAAAGCTCTGGATTGAAGCCCTAGGTTCACCGGGAACTCAAAGGAATAAAGTAAATAATAAGAGATACACACCATTTGAACTTGGAGATAGAGGAGATATTGGAAGCACTTCACCGGGATACTGAATGTGGGTGTGTGAAATGCACCACCAAGTGGCGATGACTGCCTGACCTTTTTGACTTCATTTGACGTGATGCGTCATTACTTCTCTTATTTGCTAGTTATTAACAAATTAGGATAAAGATATGGCTCAGTTTCCTAGCTAACAGGTCCGGATAGTTGAATTCTAACCATCTTTAACTAATTAAACCAACCGTTCGCATACTGCAGTTTATAAAAGCAGTAGGAATAGAATTAGTTTTATGATGATTACAATGTTAAACAAAATCACACACCTGAAATCTTCATACACCACTAGTAGTCTGCAAAGGCCAGAACTAACCTTGGAACTTAACTCCTTAAAATGAAAAATGCACTGTAACCATATTTACATAAATCAAGAGGTATGTATGTACTCAAATAATTCAAAATCCACTGAATGATCTAAGTAGACCTTTGCAAAAAAAATACGCATCAGTTCAAGGGGATATACTTCATAAAAGCTGACTGACTGGTTTCAACGTAGAACTTTGCACAGATGTGCAGCAGTTCGAGTCGCCACACTTCACTTAGCAAACGAATCAAGAGAACAGAGTAAAAAGAGATTCAAAAGAGATAATAAACAGAAATATGAGGGAAAAAGAATAGTAATATGCAAGGACAATACAACTTTATTGGATATTATAAGTTACAAGGAGTGGATGCATCTGCGCCAGCCATTGAGAACCATTTTGAGCCATATCACCACTTGTCGCTGATCATCATTGGTTCTTACCACCCCGAGTACCCCAACCAGACAGGAAGTCTACACCTCCAGACGTGGCTCAGAACTAACTGGTATGGATTTCATTGATTGATGAAGCTGTTTTCATTTGACCACCACTAGCTTACTCTTTTCCAAGCTGATCAATCCTATCTCAGCTAACATTGACAATCGAGGAAAGTGATGGCTAGGCAGGTATGAGTAAAACATCTCCTAACCATTTCAATCAACGTAACTTCACAACCTCGTCGATGCCTAACCGCAATATTACTCACTCTATTATACCACTTAACACGGCAGATAGAACTCAGATAACCATGATCAAAGACATCTAGCTAGGCTTTTCATGTCTTCCACTTTCAATGGTCATGAAGGAGGACGGAGCGAAGTGCTAAGAAGTACACACGTTCTTTAACCGATAGCCGGATATCACATCTACGCCAGAGATGATGTAATCTGGCATATGTCAAGCGAGTCTTCTGTATCCGTGTAGAGATTTCGTCAGCAACCAGCCCGTTGTGGCTAATGCAACTCCCCAAATTAGTGAAGTGGTCAACAAGCTCTACCATTTACTTCCCTCACTATCTTTAAGCTAGGAGTCAATGTAGTCCAGTTTTGTAGCACCATCTTACATTTGACAGAGGGAGCGAATTGCATGCCAATCGCATTCGAAGATTGCTGCTCAGAGCGTTCAGAAGACTGTATTTTGAACAAAGCAACAACTACAGTTTTAGCAGAATAAAATGGTACCATATTTTATTTCGTCGCCTTCTCTTCAGCTGCTTACAGGGCAAAAACATTATTAAATGTATCTACAAACAATTTAACATACTTGCACAGAGTTCATTTTAAACAGAAATCAATCGATCAATATACACATACACTAATAATATATACATATATATATGCAATAATGAACACAATTCCGAGCAATAATAATCATACACAATGAAAACTTTCCAGTATCTCGCATTAGGATAAAAATATCCAGTTACCAGGGCAAAGAAAGACTGATAACTGCTCCTTTCTGAATGCACAAATCAGGTTTTAGGCGCTTGATGGAAAAGGCTTCAGCAAACTTAAGGAGAATTGAACTCTTTTGCTTATTGATAATTTTGGACGACTTTTCGACGTCCACCTCATGACCCGTGTCAAGAAGATGCCTGGCGTCTTCACCTATGAGGCAGAACTATATCATCTGCATATTCTAAGGCGACGAGACCACACCCTGGTAACAAGTCAATCCCTGAGTTGCTGAAGTCAGTCAGGTTTAATTCCATTAGTACATCCATGTACTCATTGCAAGTGTTTATGCCTCTGTGCATAAATTGTTTATTTTCAACAAAAACGACGATAGTGGTCATTCCTGACAGACACCACTTGTTGTCATCACATCAGATTACAACGATCCATACGCTCTTACAGGTCTGTATGAGTACAAGTAGGGTGCTTCGATTGGTGCGATGTACTTTCTCAGCTCTTCCCTTACAACCGAACTTTGCCATACTACCTCTCGACAGCCCGAGTCAAATGACGCCTTCTGGTCAAGAAATATGGTAATCGTTGGACGCCAGAAAATGTGATTATGTTCCAGAATATGTGAAGGAGTGAATATCAGATCAATACATCCTCTACTTAACTTAGAGCCTGAGTAGATTCCTTGCGTTTTTTCTCTCGAGCACCACTCAATCTACGCATGGTTATTGCGCATAAAAACTTAGGTAACGTATTATCAAGCTAATCCCCTTATGATTACCCCCCGAAAGACTTACCCCTTCTTGTATACACGGGTAATCAATGACTTACACCAGCCCAACGGCACTATCTCTCATTCCTAGATGCTGCTTAATACATTAGTTAACGCAGACAGTAAACTGCCTCCACCCTTCTCAAACACGTCTGGAGTCATTCCATCAGGCCCCGCTGATTTGCCTCGTTTCAGATCAGTGACAGCTTTTGTAGCCTCAGTTAGGGACGGTGTTTATATATCCCATTCAGGGAGGTGTTGGATGTTCAGTAAGTTGATATGATGGAGAAGGTTTGTAGCTCAGGTGGATGATTTTGATGTAGTTGTGTTCTGTGAGTTGTTTGGTTTATTCACTCATCCCTAATCCTAACCCTAACCCAGAACATGATAATACACTATTTGACTAAAATTTAGCAGTGGGCATTACCCACTTCTTGTAAGAGGATCTTTGAGCAATAAAACGTCTTGTCGGTGTCAATACAAATTAGATACACATTATGTTGTTACAGAGCGTACCATGCATCAATGACGTGAACATCATCTGGGAAAAATATCTTTTACTCTCGACAGTTTTCGTTTATCAATGGTTAAAGTACAGTGAAAATGTATTTTGCCATTATTATTGAGTGTTGTTGACAAAGTTGCCGGAGTCGCAATTTTAGAAAATTGATTTTTATAAATGCATTTGACAATGCACACTGCTTGGCAACCACACTATTCAATACACTCCGATACTATAAAAGTAAATCTGTGAGATTCTTCATCTTTGAAATTAGTTACTGATACATGCCGAGTTAGTCAAGAGAAATAAGTCATGAGGTCTTTAGCTTCCTTGGTTAAAATCTACAAAATTGACTCCATTGGTTAGTTAAACCGATAAATAATGTTACCGACGTAAAACGATCCTTAAACTTAACTTATATTTGTATATCAAGTATATTTACAGCTTTATTGGGAACCATTAAACTTGACAATCGTTTTTAATACCTAGATTGGGTTGCAAAGCATTGGTACACACTAGGACCATATAATAACTGAAATATGTGTGTCACTCGTGGAATTTATAAATGAGCGAGCGAGTAAATCCTATATGCATGTCAAAGAAAAATACTAATTTTGAAACAAACTTCGCCTTTTCAAATGATTGACATCTTACACTTGTCAGGATAACATCATCGCCTGAACTGTCATCGGAATCATCGGCCACGAATGCTCGTCGACGCTTTTGAAGTGGAGCTGGGTTTTGCAAATGAGTAGGCACTAAGCATGTGATCAAAAAAAGTAAAGGTGATAATAATTTTCCCCTGATAATTGCATTAAAAAACTGGTCAAGAAAACTAAATAATATCATTTAAAAGAAACAAAGTGTAGTGAGTTTTACTTCAAAAAATACTCAAGTCCGATACTTCCTGAGTTAATGAAGTCTACAAATGACATTTCAATAACTAAATATTATATTAGTAGGTCTAAATTAGTCATTCACTACTACGTAATTCAGGGAAAAGGGAACCAGACCTTTGTTTGGCTCAAAATAAATATATCTGACAAAAATGCAACAAACTATAGAATCAGGTGGATTTAGACCTCAGTGGGGTCGTTCATCAACGGAAAAATATTTATTTCGCTCTCTGGTAATCTGTGAACAAATGATGAAATATTACAAGTCGCCTTACTCAATGTCAGGCTTCAATTAAGTAGAACCATTTTAAATAAAGACTGCGTACCAAAAATATCACAATCTACCCGATCCTAATAGAAATGAGTTTAATATTGTCATAGGCATATTGTTGAATATAAAATGGGAATTAGAAATCAGGTAAGGCTTACCTAATCTCATATTCCAGTTACATTAGCGCATAACTTCTTAGATACTTCATCAATTCGTGGAAATTAGAACATTACCACGGTGAACCATGCAAGTATGTGCGTCCGTTCAGGGTGATTGTTATAAAAATACGTTTACAATGGATTGGGACTATGCACATGGTTAAGGTTAGATTAACTTATATTTCCACCGGCGTAATGATCAACATAAAAGCGCGTCATTTCAGGCTGGAAAATCCCCAACACGCTTAAATCTACATAAATTCGTACATATTGGAAATGGATACTCAGGCCTAAATGCATACTTTCTATACGCCTATTAGTTGTGTTTACACACCTTAAAAATAAAAAACTTGATGATCTAAGCCAGAATAAACATTTGGCCTGATAATAGCTTGAAAGAACCGAAAGCCCAACCTGATGAAGCACACATCTGACGAAAATAGATATACTGATTATGGGGTTTGTAGGAATTTCGAATTAATTTCAATTGTTACAATTTAGGCACGCCAGCTAACTGATAGATGCTGAATGGATTTCTCGAAGCCACAGCGAAAATTCGCGACCAGCGCTGTCCACTATGTCAAGGTGAAGAGGATTCTCATCGGTCATTGATGAGGGCGCCGCCATATCGCAAGTTGACAGCTTGAATTCAGGAGTCATTGAAGTCTAGCCCAAGTGGTATAATGGTCAAAGACTTTAGTCTCCTAACATGAAGGTCCCGCGTTCGATCCCTCAAGAAATCATGGGTTTACATTGATGAGGCGTTCCGAAATTACACGAAAGAACGGTAAAGAGCCCCCTGGTTTTCAATAATCTCACTAACTGACGTTGGTTCGTGACAAAAACCTAACAATTTAAGTCAGATAAACTGACCAGTCGGACCAAATACACTAACATTCATAAAGTGATAATTACTAGTACAAGTAAAACTAATAATGAAAAAGATGTGGCAAATCGGGAAATGAACTTACGAAGTGGCACAACTGCAGGCAGTAGCTGCTCATTTCTTTGAGGGATGGGGGAACGATATTCCTCTGTAGTACTGTGAGATGGAACTCTACTAGGGTCATCCATATATAGACTCACAGCTAAATCCAAATCATCATTACAAGCTGACAGAAATGAGCGAGCAGTTTCTTCATCCGTGCCTGATAATATCAACGGGAACTGTGATAACTCACCTGTAACCTGACAAAACTCCCGGACACATTTCATAGATACTGTGCGAGACAGCATTTTACCGTGAAAGATGACGCAATAGCTCAGGTCCTAGCCACTCAAACGACCGACTTTTGGGCCCACTGTGCCGCGTTCTTTTGAATGCCGCGCCGCCTCCTAAGCCGTAAGATAAATTCGGCACAATGAAGACATTGTTATTCTACGTTAGTGAGGGTTAAGAAGCTGCATCAAACTCAGTGGAAATCTTAAGTGCCTTTTTTACTGCACTGCAAATTTCAAAACTGTCATGTGGGAAAGAATCAACCAAGTACTTATGCGGTTCCAATTATGAATTTTGTGATATCTTCATGCACTTCTCCCTCTCCTCATGTGAAAGTCAAATTCTATTTTACATTATCTAGTGCTAAATAGACTGTGGTAATTGGCGTTATCCATTAGTTATCCTACACGTAATATCAGTAGGTGATAAATTTATGTGTAGAGAATGGATAACCATCTCATCATTGTTTATTGAACCAACACCAAACACCTAAGTCAAAATGATGTAACGCCCACACCAGATGTATTGAGAATTGCAATAAACACTAGGAGTAGGGAAAAACTTATGAAGCAAATTACGAATTCATGTGTGTACACTGATGTAATTATGAGTGAAGCAATAGCCAATTCCGCAGAATTAATATCCAAAGCAGTTTTCACTGAACATTCAGTGATGCGATAAGACAGTGTACCCATTTGAGAAGTTTACGATTGTTCCGTAGGATTGGAGTTTTCTGGTAGTCTGATATGTGTGACTTTATCGAAGGCCTTGCTAACGTCGAGAAATAATGTTGTTACCGAATGCCCATTATCAGTGCATTGTGTAATGTAGTCAAAATAATCTAAGTGGCAAGTAATGCACGACCTTCTACTTAAGAAACCGTATTGAGATGGGGACAGTAGGTCATTTTACAGCAAGTACTGAATGATTTGAGTCTTTGCCACTTTTTCCATTACACGTGAAACTGCAGACGTGATGTTGGTGGGGCGGTAGTTGTTGACATCAGCTACACGCCTGTATTTATGGACAGGTACAATATTAGACTTCTTCCAGCAGGTAGAGTATGTCCCATCGCTTAGTGAAATTGAGTATAACTTGAGTGGGAGTAAGTTCATGTCATTACCGGTGTTTTTCAGCAGAATGGAAGACCAATTGTGCTACTAAGCTTAAGATTTGCAACAGCTTCATCGATCTCGTGCGTGGTGAAAAGTATGTCACTTAAACATTCGTCTGGTTTACGTGGGAAATCCACGACCCCATCGTTCTCTAAGGTGTATAATCTGGCGAAGTGCTTGCTAAACAGTTCACATATCACCTCAGTATTTTCGTAAGCAATCCCGTCTAAGCATGTTATTTTTGGATAGGCTGCTTTGGAGTTCGTCAACCCACTTTTGAAAAGTTTGGCTATTTCCCCTGAGTTATGCGGTGCCTGAATGGCTCGCATTTCTTTGTTTCTGAGGCCTATATTTCTCAACTATTCAGTTCTATTGAGAAGGGACGTAATAGCAATTAATGATGATAAGTCATGACATCTGTGGTATTTTATTGAGTGCTTTCGTAGACTTCTCCTCAACGATGTCAAATTGATATGATTATGAGCAATAGATTGTACTCGAAACGTCATCAGTTAATATAACTGTACAACACTGTGCGATTTATCAAGACAAAATCTTAACCATTATGGAGTTATACTCTACCACAGTGCCCAAGTTTTATACTAATATCAGTGACTGGACTAGGTTTACAGTTTACGGACCCCAGTCTAACTACTTGGGACCTATTGTTAAGAAGTGATCCAATCCATCCTAATAATGAGTTACGTATTCCTAAGGAGTTCAGCTTATTTATTTGAAGCAAATGGTCAGCGCGGTCGAAGGCTTTGGATATGTCGAAGTAGATGACTAGTACTAGTTGTTGTTTGTCTCGGCTACTGGTTATATACTTAATAATAATAATATATATTTCGTATAAACGGGTAAGTTTACATGAAATGTAAGTCAAGGTGACAGGTCATGCGTGATCTGGATTTTAGGAATCCATGTTGGTTGGGACTTAGAATATTGCAGCTGAGCATACGTTTGAGAATATCACCTTTAACTATTCTTTCCATTATTCTAGATGCTATGGGTGTAATATTGATTGGCCTATAGTTGTTGACTTCAGTTTTCGATCCGCATTTGTGTTTGGGCATTATAAATGTGGTTTTTCGTTTATCTGGATAGGTTTGGCCTTCTAGGGACATTGTAAAGATCTAAAGTGATTAAAAGGAAGTGTCAGAGCAACCGTGTTTATAAAAATACTATGTTATGCCGTCAACACCAGCACTACTAGAGCTTTTAAGAGTTTTAATGGCTTGGTCAATATTAGAATAAGTGAAATGAACTGTACTGATTTGTTTCAGCGCTGAAGAAGGGAGTTCCACCGTAGATTGTAAACTGAGAAGTGGGCTTATGGGCCTAAGGTAGTTAGCTGCAAACGTCTCGTTAAACAGTTCACACATGCCTGCATGGTTGCTGTATAGTTTGCCCTTGTTTATAAGGAGAGAAATTTTATGGCTTTGGCGATTCACTCGTTTCTTTGGGATTTCTGTGAGAGCACCTACTCTGGTGGTGTATTCTTCATTTCTCATACGCAAGTTATGAGCTTGCGAAATGGAGCTAAGAGTACCAAGTATTGACCCTAGTGTACTAAAATCATGTCGTCTGAAGTAACTCTTCAGTTTTGAGCGATCTTTTGGTTGAATAAATTTCTTCTTAAATTTTGAGATTGTTAAAACAATTAGTCCCTTTCATAAATTCGAATAAGGCATTAAGAAGACAAATTTCGCGATATGATATCATTTCGCAGTTTCTTTCCAACCCCTTTACAACTAACATGGTTAACAATGATAAAATAAAGTTCATGACAAATACTCAGTTAAATAAATGGGATCACAGCGTCTAAGCATGTGTTGGAGTTATAGCAAAGGGTGTCTAGAGCTTTCAAGAGGTTATCGGTATAGAAGTACTCTCTCCATTCTGAGGATCTTAACATCGATTTCACTAAAGTCCAGTCTGCCTTACTGTAGTTCCTGTGTAACAACAAATGACAAGGGCCAAGCAACAAATCGTTCATTAAGGAAATCTGGAGCATCTATACTCTCAAAAATCGACTTGGTTAAAGCGTTTAATCAAATCCCGATGGCAACGGAAGATATTCCGAAAACGGCTATCATCACGCCTTCCGGACTTTTTTAATTCCTACTTATGCCATTCGGCCTCCGGAATGCAGCACAAACATTGCAACTCTTTATCGATGAATTATTTCGTGGTGTCAACTTTGTATACTCATGCTTAGGCGACTGCCTCATTGCCAGTCTAGACAAGGAAACTCACCTTAGACACTTGGACTTGGCATTTGAAAGTTTACGCCTACATGGTGTTACCATCAATATTCAAAATTGTCAGACAGGCCTTGACTCACTCTACTTCATGGGTCACTCTATTGACTGCCAGGGCATTCGCCCACTGGCTACTAAATTGGAGGCGATACTGAACTTTCCAGCGCCACAAACAGTGGAAAGTTTTCGTGCTTTTAATGGCTTGGTAAGTTATTACCGACGGTTTGTTCCCAACTGTGCTTCTCTGATTCAGCCATTGACAGACCCTCTTTGAGGGAATAAAAAGGCTATCGAACTTGACGCGTATGCTCGACATGCTTTTACTCAGGTAAAAAAGCTATTGCGGATGCCACACTTCTGATGTATCAGCATTCAACGGCACCGCTAAGTATCTCACTTGATGCGTCAGACACTGCAATCGGCACAGTTCTGCAACAACTAGTTAATAAAGAATGGCGACCACTCGCCTTTTTCTTGAGGCGCCTTCAATTAGCTGAAACGAAGTACGGCACATTCAGAAGAGAACTTCTAGCTATGTACTGTGCCATACGTCATTTTCGACATTCAGTTGAGGGTCGTGAATTCATAATTTTCACTGACCACAAACCTCTGACGTACTCTCTCAACTCAACTTCAGATAAGTATTCACCCAGGGAATCACGACAACTAGATTACGTTTCACAGTTTACATCGGATATTCGCCATGTATCCGGAGTGAAAAACACTATGGCAGCTGCCTCGTCGCGCATTTCTTCCCTCACCCAAATCGACGGCATAGACTTTGTAAAACTGGCTCGTCTTCAAAAAGAAGATACCGAGCTTCAGCATGAGTTGTCGAAAACAACTCTACAATTAGCCGAGAAACCCCTAGGTATAGGAAAAGGTAATATTCTCTGCGACATTTCCACTGGTACTCCTCGCCCTATCGTGCCTAAAAGTTATCGCCGTAACGTCTCCAATACGTTGCATAGCCTATCCCACCCAGGTATTCGAACTACCATCAAGGTCGTAACTAGTCGGTTTTGTTGGCCTGGTATTAACAAGGAAGTAAGGAAATGGGCACACACGTGCTTAGCTTGCCAAAAGTGCGAGGTAATAAGACACACCAAAAGCCCCCTTGGCACCTTTCTTATCCCCGATGCCCGTTTCGAACACGTCCATATAGATTTAGTTGGCCCCCTTCCAGAATCTCATGGATATACCTATATGTTAACCTGCATCGATCACTTCACACGATGGCCTGAAGCAGTACCCATCAAGGATATATCTGCTGAAACCGTCGCACGCGTCTTCGTAGAAAGATGGATCGCAAACTTTGGATGCCCATCTTCCATAACAACTGATCACGGGCGGCAATTCGAAAGCGGTTTATTCTTCGCTCTGACTAAAATTCTTGGTTGCATGCGTTTTCGAACAACAGCCTACCATCCACAAGCTAATGGTATGGTGGAACGTCTACACAGACAGTTGAAAGCTGGTTTATCAGCTGCAAATAACACCCATTGGACTGAATCCCTTCCGTTAGTTCTCCTAGGGATACGAAACGCTTTAAAACCGATTCTGATTGAACTACTGCTGAGCTAGTATGTGGCACGACACTACGAGTGCCAGGCGAGTTTGTTTCTCCCTGGAGCTTCCCACCCGCGGTAGATCACTCCTCATACGTCAGTAGGCTTACAAGCTCAATGCGTTCAGTTAAACCCGCTCCCCTCCGACCACAGTCCATTGATGTCTTCGTTC